AAAACTGCTGACGTCGAGCAAGCTGTTCTTGACCATACAGAAAACCTTGACAAACATTATTCGGAACTCTGACGCAAGTAAAGCTCCCGGTATCGATGGTCTCCAGGTGCAACATTACAAAAACCTCAGCCCCAGCGCTGTGAAATTTCTTGCAAGGATTTTTTGCAAAGCCATTCATGTTGGACAAACTCCATTGTCTTGGCTCAACTGCAAAATGTCTTGTATTCCGAAGCGACAAGGTAAAATCCGAGTCAAAGACCTTAGGCCTCTGACTATCGCTCCTGTTGCCTATCGGCTCTTTTGCAAAACTCTCCTTGCGTTGCACGAAAGTTGTCAGTCGAACGTTCCTGCTAATTCCATAGGAGGTGTTAAGGGTCGATTTGGGCACAGTGCCTGGCTACCAGCGACCATTCATTGCGAGGCCACTTGGAGAAAAGTTGTTGAATCACGTCGCGCCCTCCAAGGTGTCGCCATTGACACCGAAAAGTTCTTTGACAACATTCAACAATCTGACGCCTGTGAAGCTTTGCGTTACATCGGTATCCCCACTGATGTTATCCGGTCTTGGCAGTTTATGATACAGAGAATCAGACGTTTCGCTTCGTTCAATGGAGCTATCGCTCCTGAAGCTTTTTGTTCCGCGAAAGGTTTGCCGCAGGGTGACCCCCTGTTTATGTTAGCCGCAGCCGCCTTCCTTGGAAAGTGGACATATGAGATGCCCAACCAAGATCTGCTGGCGAAAGTTTTCGTCGACGATAGATTGCTTCTAGGCTTCTGTAATGAATCGCTCCTTCATGCTTTTCACACCACTGAATTTTGGGATACTCATCATGGGTTTTCAACTTGTGCAAAGACCACTGCATTTGGTACGAATGACCCTACGCATAATCTTTGGTGGATGAATGGGTATGAAGTTAAAAGGGATTGCACCGTTGTGTATCTTGGAGTCCCGCTTCCTTTTGAGAAAATGCGAGCTGCCAAATTTTTTGAGCCCCTTCTGCAGCAATGTGTCATCGCTTTGAACAAGGTTATCCGTGCAAAACTCACTAATGAGAACGCTACGACCATCATTGCCCGTAAAATCATTCCTATGCTCTGCTATGCCGCCTCTGTCGTAAGACCCACAAAAGCCCAAATTGCAAGCATAAGAGCAAACATCTTTGAAGCTGCTTCAAACAGAAAATGTCAAACGCAACTTGCTCACACGATCTTCTGCGAGAAAGCGCATATGTTTGATCCTGAAGTTGCGATGATTTACCACAATCTTCGGTTTTGGCGCAAAATATATGTTGATCACCCTGAGTTTGTCGAACTGCTCAACGACACCGTTGAGCATCTTGCGCCTTGCAAGCACTCGCTTTTTGGTCCGGTCACTTTGCTTCTTGCTGACGTTGCGTGGCTTGGCTGCAGTATCAATGCCAAGGATGGTCTCATCATCAAACAAGATCAGACCCATATCTCTTTCAAAGATTTAGATAAGCAAAAGTTTTTACATGAGATTAGACAGCTTATTCGTCAAAAACTTTTGTTAGACCTGAGCAGCAAACATCCAAAATGGAATGGGGTCCAATGTGCTAATCTTGATATCTCTTGTAAGCTTTTGCGCAAAATGGATACTAGCTGCACTTACAGGGTTCCGCTGATCAGACTCCTTACCGACGCGCATGCCACCCCTGCACGGCTTTTTAAAATGGGTATAAAGGCCACTCCCCATTGTCCTTATTGTCTTCATGAAAATGGAGACATTGAGCACATAATTTGGGCTTGCCCCAGGTTCAGAATGCATCGTGCTGATTGGGACCCGGTGCTACTGGATAGGAGTAACTGGCCTGCATGCGCTACGCATGCATTAATCTTCACTGACGACATGAATGATAGCCTTAAAGACAAATGGCATGTTTTTCAGATTCATGTTTCACAGCTACTGTCACAATGGATGGAGCTCAATCGCCATCCTGAGCTGTATGAACAGTTTGCACCTGGATCCTGTCTCCCTGCGCAGCCAATACAGACGCGGGACGAGCCTTGCCTTGTCCAAGATTCCATTACTCGGCAGTGTGAACCACTACCACTTGATTGGAGGCCACCGGCTAGTCGCACTGCCATCAACCAATGGGGTAGTGCTTTAACTGACTACAGCCTCATCTTTCAGTTTTGGGCACGATGCACCATGCACCCCCATCCTAAAGCCACTAGAATCCGCACGTGGTCGCATGCCTTGGCACTTTTCGTTCAAAATGGTGGTCATCTTTCCACGTTCCTTTATGAATGTCAGTTCATAGGCATGGCCGCTTATAAGTTTCGACTCCTGTCTCGCAAACTTCTTGAAGATCAAGATTTCTGGGATGACCTTCCCGATTTTGAAAATGAAGCTGCAGAGAAAATTAGATGGCTTCCCACTTTTCCCAAAGAAAGCGCGTTTCCGCCTTCTGTTTTCTACACTCCCCAGTGGGATCTTGTTGATGTTGCCATGAGATTGCAGCGTATCTTCATCGAACACAAAATTGAGGAACAAGTCAACACACACGTGCTGCGGATCACTCCCGCCGACTTCTGTACGGCCTTCACTGACAAGCAGCCTGTTTTTAGGAATGAAATGATCAGCAAAAACTGGGCTTTGCCGCGTTTGTTTTCTAAAAGCAGACCGCCGCCTTGGATTGCTCTTGTCAATAAGTTAAAAAGCCAACCGTAACCCTCCTGACATAAAAATTACTTGTATTACTCAACTGTCACTTGACACATGGAATTCTATGACCGCGCTTGAAATTCGCAATGCTTTACCTGCGAAGCCAGGACCGCTTAAACGTTTCAAGGCGGCCATCAACAGAATTACTAGATTTCAGGATGCGCTTGAAAGGTTCAAAGCCAACCAAACTCTTGAGAACACTTGCCGTACGCACATCCTTGAGCCAAGTTGGGTAAGCATGTCCACTGGCCTCTGGGGTTAGGTTCAGGGTACAAAGTGCCGGTGCCAAAGGCGACACCGACGGGTATACCCCGCCATACTTAGAGAACAACAGATCCCAAGCAAATCGCGTTTTTTTTGCCGCTATGTCTGCAAAAACGATCAGTCGAAGATAGCTGCAGGCTTCGCCGAAAGCAGCACGACAACCTGCGTGGGACAGTGAATATCATGTGCATGGAGTGTTTTTTTAATGGTATGCAGCTTTTTTACTAGTAACTCACTAACTTGCGTGTGCACACTGCAGAAGAAGTATGTTTTTTTGTTTGATATCAGTAACAAATATTACAGCAGGATGGTGTGGCAGGTGATGGACATATTGTTATGATGCAGCCGCTTCTGATGTTGATGATGGTGATGTGTAGCAGTAACAACAATAATGCCTCAATGCCCAGGGTGATAGTGTTGTGCTGCATTTGATGCTGTTGGCGACTGGAAATTTACGATTATGAAGACCATGAATGTTGATCATGATGATGACTGCTGCGAGGGTGACGATGATGATGGTGATGGTGATGGTGTTGATTATGATAATGACGACGAGCATGATGATGGTGATGAGGCTGATTCAAGGGTGATGGTGACGATGAGAATGATGATGGCGATGCCGATGACCATGGTGATGATGACGATGGTGATGATAGTGTACTAATGATGAACGACAATGATGATGACATCGATGATAGCGAGCGGTGGCGCTGGCGATGTTGGCGGTCCAGGTCGGACCAGCAGTATCAGCAGTTCTGAAACAGTGTGAAACAACCCGTGAACCCAGTGACTGTGAAACTGTGAACCGTCGCTTCTGTGGTGGATTATGTCTCTTGTTTGTCTATGAGTCTATGCTTGTCTTATGCATGTCTCACCTTATGTCTCACCGTCTCACCGTCTCACCTGTCTCTCTGTGTCATGTGCCTCACCGCCTCACCTTATGTCTCACCGTCTCACATGTCTCACTGTCTCACTGTCTCATGTGCAAGCAGTGCAAGCATCTCACAACTTTTTTAGCATCTCGCAAGGCTCGGCGTCAGGATCAGCTCGCATAGCTTCGGGCGGACGACGCTGGAGAAGACTCGATATCGTCTCCTCGGATGTGCGGCGGATAGCGTTTGATTGATCTCGCTCTCGGTCGATCTCTCTCTTTTATTTCTCCCTCGTCGCTCGCTCGACAGTCAGCTCATGTTGCTGCCACGTGGCCTGCCTCTGCTGTGTTTGCCGTGGTAGCGGTTGCTGCTTCACGCGGTAGACATTGGAGTCCATGTGGATACACATTGAGATACGATTCGATAACATCCCAGAAGCCTTTGCAGCTACCTTTCAATCTGGAGTTTATCTCCGGGCAGGCGACATATAAATGCACCAGGATGTAGTCCCTTGCGACGGCGCTGTGCTGAAGGAGAGATAGCAGATCTCGGTGAGGAGCAGCAGCCATGGAAAGGATGGAGTGATGGAGTTGATTTCGAGCCAGAATCTTATGCATACATATATGTTACATGTTGATGTCGTTGTTGTTGCTGTTGTTGTTGCTGCAACGCTGTGAAACTGTGAAACTGTAAGAAGATTGTGAAACAGTGAAACGGTGTGAAACTAGTGTGAAACAATGAAGCGGTACAAACCCTCACTGTCATGCAGCCTCTCCGCCTCTGTCTCTCACTGCCTCAGTGTCTGAGTGTATGCCTATGCAGAAACATTTCCAGCTTCCGTGGTGCGCGTGTCGTGCATCGTGCAAGTGAGAAGGTCTGCACAGTGAAACACTTAGACGCTGCAGTGCCCAAACCAGTGTGCACGTAGCACGTATGAACGTATAATTGAAGCGAATGAAACAGAAACAGAAACATAGTTAATAGTTAATGACATGATACGACATGTGAACCTCTCAAACACTGCACTGGCCTGCACCTGGGCGTCGCGTGGCTTGTGGGTCAATGACTGTAGGTCACTGAAAGCGACTATTCGGGATATCATCGATATCAGACATCAAAGGCTCGGATGCATTCACGTGCAACCGTGCAAAAGTGCAACACATCAATCATACATCAACCTACTTCGTCAAATGCTTTGCATTTGCGTTCACACGTGGCTTCTTTGTCGGTGAGCTCTTGGTCAAGCGGCTCACGGCTGACGTTGTTGCGCCAACACCGCCGAAAAGGCCTAGCTTGCGAAGGGCCTCGTTGGCAAGGGGCCAATCTCCCTCCGCCAGATGCGCCTGGCCAGGGTATGCTCGCTTTGTGCCCTTTTTTGGTTTCCACTCTTCTCCTGGCAGATGCTCCCTCATGAGCACGAGGAAGGCATCTCCGTCGATGACTTTGATCAGGACTGGCGTCAAACCAGCGTCCTCTCCGTCGGTGGTAAAGCGGAGGACTGGAACCGAGTACTTGATTGTCGTGCCCTTGTAGATCATTTGGCATGGGAGCTCTCCGATAATCAGCGCTGGGCGAGCTAGGTCCGTTGGCGGGATCATCCAGGTTGCACATGGAGTCTCACTCTCCAAGGTATCGAAGCTATTGCCCCTGATATAAAACTCCAATTCACACTCGTCGTCTCCGCAATCATCGCCGTCACCACTGCCGCCAATACCTGATGTCTACTTTATCAAAATCGATATTCGACTACTCGACTCAGTTGCTGCAACAAACAAACGACGTTCAATGGTCGCATAGTGTCGATGCTTCAGTGGCTGATCGGGATCACCCTGCACGGTGACTTCGAGTGACGTTAACGTCATCACTCTTGGCGGTTTCTGCACGACGGGGGCAGCGGTGCCTGACACTGAGATTGATAGTTGATTTGATGACATGATGACCTGATGACCGCCGTGAAACCGCGACTTCTAATCTACACTGTAATCAATCTACATGACGCCAATGTTCGGTGTGTGATTACAGTTGTCAGTCTATCGTCATCGAGCGACAAACGTCGCCCCAGAAGCACAGCTTGAAATTATCTCTGAGCTCCGGCGTGGTCACCTCATCCAGTCTTGCCCGTACACCGTCTTGTCCTTGCGACAAGTCCTTGTAGTTGTCAATGATGTTAGTGACCTGTTGTGTCTTTGGCAAACGCAGCAGCACTTCTGTTGACTTGACTTTCTTGTCACCCTTCTCAATTTCCTTGACACAGAAGGTCACGGCACCACTGCAACCGTTGCGATCTTCGTAGCTCCTGTGTGGGTCTGCATGTGTTGAATGCCTTGATTCTTTAACAGTTTAAGTACATGGACAAGCCATGGACAGACCCAGCAAGAACTCCTGCATTGCATCATCAAATCCGCAGCCAACAACAAACAGAACTCCCGCACGGCTTCGGTCGCAAACAGGATCCCTGATGTGCCTGCAATGCCCTCACCTTGCTTGGCATGATCCGTTGCCAGCACACTTAGCGCACGATAAGAAACCATCCGAGTCCCGTCCCCGGAAGATGCTGCTGCACCTTCGGCTGAGGTGTTTGCCTGACCAGCATCGGTCGAAGATTCCTGCACAGGTTGAACGGCTGATGGAGCGTCCTCGGTAAGATCATCGATGGTTACCTTGCCTTTTCGAATAAGCTCCATCAGTCCACTGGCATACCCACTGGCAAGACTGGCAACATCGAATGGAGTACACATGGCATCCATCTGTGCAAACACCCCTATGTGCGATTGGATCAGTGTCATCAGCTTGTCGCCAGAGATCTCACCACAGCGACCCTCCAGAGTCTGATGGCACAAGGACAAAATATAGAAGCACCGGAGGCGTGCTAGGCAGGTCACGCCAGAAGGTGTTAGGATTTTTTTGAACAAATCGTTCCTAGCATGATCCTTGAGGACTGCTGGCAGGGCATCCCAGTTGCCCACTAGGTGTTGGCCAAGGATTTGGCCAGTGGCAACCACTGTTGCAGGCAGGACGGCGAGTACCGATGAGCATGCGTGAAATGCCACGTCCGCAATGTCCGCGATCGTTTGATGGAGCAAACAACTCTCCTGGTTCGTCCTGTTGTGCTGACTCTGGCACACGACATGTGCAGTGACCGGAAGAAACAACAATCACACACAACAACACCAGCGGCAACAAGAACAAGTCTACAACTACACCGAAAGCTGAAGCAGTGAAACATGTGTACCTTGTATGTGCAGGTGTTCACGGTGTTCACACAACACACACAACGTCAGCAGTCCTATTCTCGCCGCAGGAACACATGTCGGTCCATTCGCCGTAAATCTTGTTGTAGGTCAGGTGATGCATGATCTTGTCAAACATGGATTTGTCGCTCGGTGGCTGCTCGAGAGGATTCTCGGTGCGTGTGGCACCCATCTCCATGTCGAGCCACGTGAGGAAATCGCTGATGAGAGGTTCCACGGACTGTGCAGCCAGTGCATTCTGAACTGTTGCCGCTGTTGTAGTGGTGGCTGCCGAACTCGACATGGCATGGTGTTGGTGTGCATGCGACCCAGCACTAGCACTTGAGAGAGCTTCGGACACCTGCTGCTGCGTGTCGGAGGACGATACAAACCCTTGCTCCAAACCGGCCGCACAGATAAGCTTGTCGGAGTATGCCGCCGCAACCTGTGTGTGGGTGTGTGTGTGTGTATGTGTGCGTTTTTGTGTGCGTGCGAGACTGTGACTGTGGCTGCGCAAACAAATGCAAAAGGAAGAAACAATCGTTGCCCTGCCTTGTGGTACTCATTCATTGCGTAGAGCTGCAGTTGAGGTCTCAACGTAGACCATTTCTTGTGTTTTTTCCCATCCAACACAAGCTCTCGCTCACATGCAAAGAATATGCCCCGGCGGATGCATTGTTCCATGATACGACACTCTACTGAACTGTACACCGGCATATCGGTTCCCATGTAATCGGCGGCTGTGGCACTGTCAGAGTCTCTGATAACTCCCCATTTGTGTCTGCAAGCTAACAAAGACGACCTGATTGCCATCGCCAAGCAATCCACGAAGTATTTGTCCCGCACGAGCTTGCCACCCTGCACTGAGTCGACAACGATAGCACTGTCAAGCTTGCTGCTGTCCTCGATTCCCTGGGTCTTGGCGGATGATTTCGCCTTTGCTTTACCCTTAGCTTTCGCTTTGCCCGCAGCTTTCTTTGCCTGTGCATCTCCCGTTGCTTCCGTCAGCACTGTGATTGCATCTTTGGTGTTTTTCTTCGCCTGCTTCTGAGCATTGATCTTCTCCTGCAGCTGAAACACCTTCCCTGTCAATGGAGTCATAAGCAAAGCCACCTCACCAGCGCACGAAGCACCCTTCTTGAACAGCCACTTCATCCCCGGCTGCTCCAGCGGCATCTCGGTGTGTGGCAACACAGGCGTGACAGGAGTTACAACAACAACACAACAACAACAACAACAACAAGTACAAGTAACAACAACAAGTAACAACAACAAGTAACAACAACAACAACAACAACACCAACAACAATAACAACAACAAATAACAACAACAAATAACAACAACAACAACAACAACAACAACAACAACAACAACAACAACAACAACAACAACAACAACAACAACAACAACAACAACAACAACAACAAAACAACAACAACAACAACAACAATAACAACAACAACAACAACAACAACCACAGCAACAACAACAACAACCACAACAACCACAACAACAACAACTGCTACTACTACTGCCACTGCTACTTGCTACGACGTCTGCAGTCTGCAGCTATGACTCTACGACTTCACACAGTGAAACAGCAGTTGTATAACAGTGAAACAGTGAAACAGCCCACAACTACAGCTCTACGACTATACGACTCTACGACACTGTGAAACGGCAGGTGTGAAACTGCGAGAGCTACAGACTGACCAGACTGACCTGCGTACCGGATCCGTATTATGACACATGTCGAGTCACACAGCACGAAGCCAGAGCCACGATGATTGCTTTGCGCTCCTGGAATGACATAGAGCCGAAGAACGCCGTGCATGCAGCGATGAGTTCCTTGAGGCAAAAGATCACCTGGTCATGTGCTAGCTCTGCATGTAGATAGTTGCAATGCTTCTCGGCCAGCTCCTTCAGCTCCGGTAGAACATGATACCTTGACAACATGTTGTAAAGGTTTCGCGTAGCTTCGAAATGTTTGAATGTCGACCACACGTCCGGGTAGTTGCTCTGGATGAACTCTCTGTATCGAATCTCGTATTCTTGGCTGCGTGCTGTGATACCAGTCGCAACGCGATGATTCGACCATGCTTTCTCGACCTCAGAACAGCTATCGATGTTTAACGACGTGACATCACTACGACAGAACCCAGGTCCATGCACACACCACCAATTTTGCAACCAGAGTGGCGTCGGGGATCTTGGACAGCATTTCTATGAACGACGTAGTTGATCCTTTATGGAACTGATTGTGATACGTCACCCTTGGCACGGCATGCGCGTGGGGAGGTGGCGTTGATCTGGCTTATGGCCTAGGGCATATGCTTATGGGTGGACTTAGCTGATGGCCCAGGCTGATGGCATCTTAGTTGTGAGACGGTGAGACGTGAGACAATACATCTGTGAGACAATGATGTTGTGAACCCATGTGCATTAAGCTATCAGAGTTTATACGTAATATGACTGAAGATCGAGACTTGTGTATTGTTGTTCTGCCATAGCCATAGGCCATAGGTGTGAGACGGGCAGATTTGTGAAACAGGTTACGGGCACGATCAGTGAACTGTGAAACCAAAACTACATCTACACACATGCAGCACATGCACACAATGCAAACACAAAAGCCTCAACAGCCCAGTCACAAGAACTCCAACACTGCATCAGGTGTCCGGTGGTCATACACTATCACGTCCAAGCCAGCACGATGTGTGAGCTTCAGGTTTGGGAAACTGTCTCTGTCTGCATCAGCCCACGCAGCATAAAATGCTTCCGTCCTGACATGCAGAAGACATGACAGCAATGAATACATGAAAGACAGCAACAATATAACAATATGCAGCAACCAAGCAATCAAACAAACAGCCGGAACCGGGAAACACACTGCAGAACAATCAATACTGATGCACACAGGCAGGACACAACGTCCCGAAGGTGAGTGCAAGATATGCGGTCTCATTGTTCTCTGGGTTCGGTGCCCTGACCCACGCCTCCCCTCGCACGCCCTTGATGATTCCGCGCGATTGCACTGACTTCTTGTAAACCTGCAAGACTTGATCCTGACGTCTGGAGTTGAGTGGATGGCGTAGGATGGACTTCTGTTCACCGTCACCAATGAACCACGCCAGGTTCTTCACAGAAGGCACCTGGCGTCATATTGATTACGTTACAGAGTCGAACATACTAACCCATCAAGATACATCGAGTCATTGAATGCAATCAACGCAACACCCTGCCACAGCCTTGTAGATACGAGTGATTTCGTCCAGCAGTTCTCTGCCTGGTTGCACGTGTGGTCCGAAGATGTCCACCAACGTAGCGCCCTTGCTGTAGAGATTGGCGAGGTTCACATTGATGGTTCCTGTGTGTGCATTTGCTTCGGAGTTTGAACCCTGCATCGCCATCGCGGATGCCTTTGCACGCGGTTAGGACCGTGGGACAGTCAGGAAGGCGTGCGCAACAAACCGAGAAAGTTCGAGCAGCTGTCTTGAGCTTGAACAAGTGTTCATAACATCACATGATTCCAGGTGTTGCCACTCAAGGCATGTTGTGAAGCATGCATACAGCAGAACAACACCAGGCACATCACAACACGAAACCGCGCCCGGCCCTGTATTTCAACACTCATCGGTGCATGATGCGGCTTCCTGAACGGCTGGCACAACAAAAATCGTGCTCCGGATTCACAGACAGCACGACGGCTATGCCACCAGATTCCAACACTGCCAACACGAGTTCCCGCCCGAATGTTGCATTCAGGGTCAAGGACCGGGCGGCTGCCACAGAAGAAAACCTACGACTCCGACCAGTGAAACTGTGAAATTGAAGACTGACTAATGATGTGCTCTACTTCTTCCTCAAGGCCCGAACAATGCGCGCACTGACCGCAGAGGACTTGGGACTACTGCACATACGCAGTTCTCGCACAGCTGTCAAGATCTCAGCATCCATCGATACTTGTGTCCAAATGTACATCATGATCACACCGATCACATTGCAGTGCATAGTGTTTCCGGCCATTCTGCAAATCTGTGATCTGCTTGGCCAGTCTGGAAGCGATTGGCCCAACCCGTCCGAAGCATCACCAGGACCATCACCCACCCGTCTGCTCCTGCCCGCGAAACTACAGCAGACTTTGTCGTAGGAGAAAGTCCGCAGTACCGGGAACCCCTGCAATGTCAACAGTTCCCGAGCTGACAGCCACCGCTGATGAAGCTGTGAGTACCACAGAGACGCAGATGAAATCAATGTGCGCATCACCTGGTTACAGCTGGAGAGGATGCTTCACAGGCAGAAGTGTCCACAGTCACAGCACCCAAGATAACAAAACAAAAACCACTGAACCACACAACAACTACGCCAACACTGACGACTTACTTACAACACTGAACAATAACAAATGCTATGGTGCAGAAACTTGCACCGGCATGTTGGTGCCGACACACATCACGAAGGGACTCTGGTTCAGACAGTAGATACCGCCTGGAATCTTCTCTTGGTATCCAAGCAGGAACCCATACTCGCCCTCAGTCAATGCTTCTTCGAACGCATTGGCTGCTGACACTTTGCACGGGCTGTCTTGGCTCCACCGAGTAGTTGGTCGCTGACAAGCCCAATCGAGCTCTGCTTGCAGCTGCTGTTCGTCTTTCCTAACAAACACCGAGTGAGACAGTGAGACATTGAGACAACCACAAGACCAGCAGGCGAAACAGCAACAAAAACAAGATACAGTCCAGCTACTCCCAGAAAAAGATGTCCCACGTCGTCTCCATTTGTCGGTTGAATAGCGGAGCAAAGACATTGAGGAGAGATCTGAATCCCAGTGTCTTGGTGCGATGCCGTCCCCTTGGTTCTGGTTGTATCGCTGGCACTCGATAATTTCATTAACCGACACATGTGAACTTGAACAACATAACAACACACAAACATGACAGCATGAAGCTGAGCCAGTTACACTGTCCACTGTCGAGGACGTTTTATTGGCCAACCAAGTGCTGTTGGTTCAACAACGCCACACGTCCATTCATATTCTGGGAGCAGTTCCTTGAATATGGAATTCGGAAACTCACAGACATTCTCCTGGACCACTATTGGTTCTTGAAGCAGCTTCCTGTGGCACACCCAGATGAGGAAATGGCTGAAGGTCTTCCCTTGCTCTTTGTTCTTCAAGCCAATCGGTGAATAATCTATACAACTCGTGCCGGCAACATGGACAAGGGCAACTCGCTCACACATGGAGCATTGCCGTCGGTGCACCGAACAATATGCAGACCTGAAGCAACGTTGGCAAACATTCAGTTTAAAATCAACATGATCAATATGATTCGTCAACATGATGAACCCACGATGTCCGTGCTATATAATCCAAGATGCAGCGACACTGACTTTTCCGGTTCCTCGATCATGACAGGCTGCAACTCGGTTGCCACGGTGCCGCCCTCAAGCATCTGTGGTAGCATACGCTTCAGCTTTGGTAGCAAGAACTCCTCCAAATCCCCAAAGATACACTGTGGTGTTGATGGATGCTGCGACAGTTCTGTCTGACAGTGACTGTTGATTTCTATGGCATGCAAGTGTTCTGGATGCTTTGCTCGCACACCATACTCTGCTTCCAAGCCTGCAATCAGCTGAAACACACCTGTACCAGGTGCATCTATGCCGGAATAAGCCGTTGACATAGTGGTGAGCCCAATTCTCTCAGCAAGGCATCGCATGGATCTCAGCGTCGATACGTCAGTGCCCAACCGGTTCGCAGTTGATTCGTCGTTGTCGGGGAAGTGCTTGACTAATCCATCCAGGCTCCGATCAACCATGTCAGTAAGCCTTGCATATTCCTGGAGCACGAATGACGGCCAGCCTGAGCTGCAGTGATCAGTGATTACAATTCCAGCAACATTAAGTACACGTTCGCCGTTCGCTTCAGCCGCATCAACTGTGAAACGCTGGGTGAGACAGTGAGACGGCGAGACAGTGAGACAGGCGAGAACATGCTATTGATTATAGTTATTGCAACTGCCAAGCTTGTGCATGCAGTGGTTGTGTGTCTGTGTGCTTGTGACAGTGCAATGGTCGTGCCAAGTAGAGATCGTTTCCAAAGCACTGGAGCAAAACACTGAACCACTGGCCGTGAACTGCAGCCAAGACACGAAAAGCGTCATCCAGTGATGTG